AGAACTAGTTTATTCGTTAAGCATTAAAAATTCTTCCCTGTCATAATAGGCGTACATTAAAACATTCGATTCAAGCTAAACAGAATTTCCCTCCTTTTTTCTTTAATACAACAGAAATGAAATTAAAATAAATAAAAATTATATTAAATGATACTCTTCAGTTGATTGCTCATTAATTATGGCTGAGTATTTTATCACCACATTATTATATCTTATTGATGGGTTGCATAATAATGACATTAACATCCATATAAACGACATATGTGGATAAGTGATAAAAGCTTCAATAATAAGCAAATTTTCAATTCAACTCTTATACGAAGGCGTATGAGTGTTCTTATTTACATTATTATTCATAGTAGTTATAATGGAAATCACAAATTCCCTTTCCGCCTCGCTCACGGCAATAAATAACGCTTGACGCAATGAATATTCGAAGATAAAATAATGGACATCCCGATAAAATTGAAAAAAGAAAGTATTAATACCTAAAATAGAAAACAAGAACTCAACTAATAGGTGAAATTCAAATTTGAGAAAAGCATCGAAATACTGTGGAAAGACGAAGAAAAGATAGCAATTGTCTATTTTGAAAGGGAAGTCCCGAAAAAGTTTTTGCATTTTTGTTTATGAGATAATACGATGAGCTTATTTACAGCCGACAGTCGATTCATTCGAGTGTTCCAGCGATCTACCCACAAGAAAATTTATTTTTCCAGAAACGAGTGGACAAACGTTAATGGGAGTCCCACCTATTTTAGCTTTGTGTTCATCAACGAGTCAAAACCATCCCATAGTCTTTATTGTTTAAGAGATAACTTAGGATGAAAGATCTTCTTATTCATCTAGTGTAATGAAGGCTGCAGCTTTTATTTATTTAAAACAAAAGTAATGATTACTTATGAATTGTTATGGGATGAATATCATTTAGTCGTTTGAAGAATTTATTTTAATAAATACTAGCCCTTAGAAAAAGGCAACGATCTTAATCGCACGTCTTATTAAAAAAAAATAGTCTCTCAACTCACAAGCCGCCATGTAATTTCCATTAATGGTTAACATGTCCAACCTTATCGGATTTTAGCTGACAAAAGATGTTTTCATATAGGACGCCCCATAACTTGTTATCTGTATAGACTACTTACAGCTCACTTAGTGCTAGTTGCTGCTACCTAACCAAACTGAATCCTGGTAACCCCTACCCAAATAAAAGAATATGCAAAGTCAAATCGAGGGTCGACTTTGATTTTATTTACTTATTTCCACTTATTTCAACCAATGATCGCATAAGAAATTCTTCACAAAATGTTTGTCAGCTTTAATATATATCATTTTCTTTAATATGACCAAACACTCAGGGGATGTCTCCTAAAAATGTGTAACACGTGGACATTCGTAAAGAAGTTGGGCAAGAGAGAAGGAGTGGTCGCTGTCTGGTGAATTTGGGCCCAACATGTTATATCTTTGCCGTCCGAGCTATAGCAAGATCAAACCGTAAGTGACATTTGAAGCGGCGAATACCGCCCGACACCGACTCCCTGCGACTCCTCTCTACTCAGCTACGCTTTAGGATTGGTGGTGAAAATCTTAAATACGTTCGAAAGCCGAATTTAGAGTTTGTGGGAATTTACAAAAGGGGCAACTCTTATCAGCATTTAGCTGATTGTCAAATCTTTTATAGGTTTACTCGACCGAAATCAATGTTTAGTTCGAATATTTTCTGCTGGAGCTGCACCTAAGTACTATTCAACTCCGGCTGGGAACGTCTGACGTTTCCGACATATTCCACAAATCGGTCGCCTATTGATTAGCACTGACTCAAATCACATTTAGGACATCAAAGATTCTGCAAACTTGAAGATCCCGGATATTGATGTCTATGTCGCCTCGAATCTAAAAATTTTCTACTGCAAGCCCATCCACTAGATACCCCACAAGAGCCAAAAACTTCCATATAATGAGAAAATATATTTCGATTATTACGCATTAGAACAAGGTTAATAAATTTGTAACAGATTTTCTTCTTAACAATCGCCTTGATATAGGCATCATATAAAGGGACTGTACAAAGTTACCTGCTAAGAAACCTTATAATAATGATGAAGCTATCACAAAACAAGGAGACTTTTACGAAATAAATAATTCGATTTTCTTTAAAGGAAAGGAATAAACGATGAAAAACAAATTTTTCCCCAGCCGATTTATACATGAAAGTCTGTGGCGTTTAGAAAAAATTGAATTTATTAAGCATGAAAATAGTTAGCGCTTGTGTTGTCACAGGTCAGAAAAAAATAATTTTCGCTTTTTAGTTCACTTAAATAAAAAATTGTTTCTCTTATTTAAACCAATGTAGCTTTAATCTCGGACCAAATTCGGACAGAATTCTTGATAAAAATAAGAAGAAATAAGTGCTTCCAATTTCTATTCTATTCAATTTCTATTTCTATTTCTGCAAAGCCTGTACTAGTATCTCCAGGCAATGAAATAATATATAACAATAAAAGGCGGTAAAAGCACTTTTACACCTTTAAAGAGAGAGTTAGGGAAAGATCGGTCGAAATGACAAAAAAATAAGGTGGTAGTTGCATACACCCATCAGCACTCAACAGGTACTTGTACCAGAAGTTAAATTAAAATTTTTGTCTCTTATGTGTAATTAGGTTTTGCATCGAAATTATGAACGATCTTAAAAAAATACTTGCTCTGGAATTTACGTTAACGACTGCTATGAATTACAGGTTTCATACGTTTGTCACTTGTGAACATGTACATGCTGGTACCAGTCCATTTTAAATATGGTAACAGATTCAGAATATAGTTGTCGCCCTAAGAACAGAACTTGTCAAACGGGCAGGCAGGCAGACAGACGAGCACGATTTATATGTTCATTCACATACATGCAGTCACAGTAGATATTTCTCTGAATTGAGCAAAACTTGAGATTAAAAGCTTAAGTTATGACATAAAAAAGTGTAGCGGAAAAGTGAAGAGGAAAAAAGTTTAAAACTACAGAAATACATATATGAGCAAATAAATAGATACATACATACGATAGTAAAAAAATAAAAAAAAAGTATGCATACATCTTGCCCAGAACCACACTCACAAAGAATATATGTGAAACTAAGTGCGTACCACTTAAAAGCGCAAACGCAGCCGACCATAGCGGCATCATTTAGTGTATTAATGGATGATAATACGACATTGAAAGTGAAGAGTTTTAGTTTAAGTATGACAACACCGATGCGATATATAAGAAATGCGTTACTTATAAAGATGCATACTTTTATAGAGAACAAACAGTAAATGGTTTGAATAGATCATAACATAATCATAAATAAGTAAAAACACTATGGCGAGTCAAGGCCCACCTTTAAACATCCTACATCACCCTAAAGTAATTCATATATTGACTTGTCGAATTAAGGTGTTCTATAGAAATTGGTCGAAAAAGAGATCCGAAACGATCTCAACTTAGAAACAGACGATTTCTCGACGTAATGCTTAACGGTTCTTCTTTGAGGAATACACCGTCAGGAGGAAGTTTTAGTTCCGCATTTGCCTTAGCCTTTTCGTCCCTTAAAAAAAAAACCCTTATTGTACACATTACAAACGTATTGGTTGCTGAATTATATAGGCCTTGCACCGTTATAGCTTGTATGTAAGGATTGTTCAGTATGTACACTAAATCAAAGTTTACGGTCCATCAAAGAAAGGGTCCATAGCCTCTATTTGGTGCGAAACTATAGTGTATTTAGTAGCGAACAAAGCTAATCTTAGAAGTTTTTATATATCTTAGCCAAGTAACTACATTTTATAAATCAGCCATGAGTGAACGTATATTAAGATATTGGATGGAACAGATAGAATAGATTCTAAGTCACTCCGTTCATTAAACCAACTCTTATGCTAATGACGAATTTACATCTACTATGGACTTTCTAGTTCATATTTTGTATCACAAACACAAAGCCATATTTAGTATGTGCTTACTTTTTGATGGTATGACACATTCTGTTATCAACAGTTTTATAAAATCTAACAATGCCGCTATATATGTTGTATCATAAAATTCAACAGGTAGGTTTGCGCATGCTTAAGTTTACTTGGAATGTTTACTGTTCACGAGAATCCTTATGTGGACAGGCGTAAACTTCTGTAGACCAAGCTTACCGGACCAAAACTTATTTGTCAAATAAGTGTTTTTTTCTAACTCTTATCATAAAGCAAGAAAAATTAAGAGATTACTACTCTACTAAATTTTTACATTTATTTTCCATGACCTTTGGGAACTTTTTCTCATGTAACGGTATTTTTAAAATGTCTCTTTCTAAAGAGAGCGATCGTAAAGAATGATCTGACCCAATTCATTTCCAATAGCACTCGTCCTTGTCAGAGCACGAAATTTTACCGAAAAATTAAATATAAAATAATTAAACAGACATAAGAACGGCAAAGGAACAGGCACACTTAAGTTGACTAAATTGATTGTGGCCTGATTAGTTTAATAAAAGTACATCTCCATTCCTTGCGGACGTTGCACAATCCACTTTAATACAAAACTCAAAAAATTCAGCATAAGTAAAACTCTTCTTATATGTGTATATACATATATATGTATTTATATATGTATACATGCATATATATTTCCAATGCATTTAAGTTTTGTTGTACAGAAGCTTTAAATTACATAGCACCTTGTGTTTTAAACTAATGTTCAGCCGAGCTAGCGAAACGGAATCCATAGGTAAATAAGCAAGCACTATTTTTAAATGGCAGTAAACACATGACTGATACCATGCTAAGGAAGAAAAAAAATAGCAAAACACATTCGCATGCGTGCGATAATAGCTGAACGAACCTTTGAAACCATAGCAACTATAGCAACATATGCAAGCCGGTAACTAAGAGCAACTGGGTTTTCCAAAAATTTTAATAAAAACGCATAAACCAATTTTTATTTAGTTAGACATTGTTTAGTTCCATAAAGAATTTTAATAATGTCGTTTAAATGTAAATTCATTTTAAATATCTCAGGTAGAGTAACAAGCGCTTCTAAGGAACATTAAAAAAAATGTTTTTTAATTGAACATATTTATATGTATTTCCTCTCTCACACTTAGTGGAATATTTTGCGACTCATAATCTTAGTGGTGCGGAATTGGATGAGCAAACAGCAACGATTTTAGAATTTCTAGAAAACGATGATTTAACTGTAATCTCAGCCGTGCATAATAAAGCACAAAATAAAATTAAATTTCAACATGGCTTGCCCGCTGATAAGGATGAATACTGTTTACTTTTCTATAAAATACCACATGTTGGAAATAAAGCCAGTCCTGGTCAGGCAACATCGGCAACAACAGCAGCAGCAGCAAAAACAGCAATCACAACGAATGTAGAGCAACGGCAGCCAGCACTTGGCATTTTGACGCTTGAGGGCGGTCTGGTTAAATCCATTTATAATTCTATTTCTCGTGTATTTTCTCCACATTCTACAGCTGCACGGGTAAGTAGTACATCCATATAGATTTTCGTTTAGATGTATGCTTAACAAACACAATATGGATATGCACTTAATCGCTCATTTATTCCCCAACATACATTACATGTAAAAGAAAAATATTGTATATGTTTACTTGCCCTGATTAGTTGGCTAGCCACGTGTCTTACCCCTCTGTTACCTTCAACATCATCGTCATTATTAACAAAATAATTATAAATTTCAAAGTATTGTTGCCTTTTAAAGTTTTTCACTCTTAATTAAATTACTTCCCGCTTTTTTCCAAACACCATTTTTGTTGTCATTTTATAGATATGTTTTATCTTTACAAACAAAGATTAGATTTGCGTTTTGATTCCATTCACCGAAGAATGGAGATGTATTCAATTTGTCCTTTCATTTGCATCGTCGTCCACCAGAACCCCAATAAAGAGTATATATTGTTGATGAGAATCAGATGGCAAGTCGACATGACAATGTTCGCCTTTACTTGCGTTCATTATACTGGTTCTTTTTTCTTCTGCTGGAACATTAAAGTAGGCAAACATTGAATTAGAAAACTGAAACTTGACTCGTGAGCTATATATAAATATATATATGTATATACATATATGTCTCATATATACATAAATATACCTCATACATATATCTCTCTCTAATCTTGACAAGCTTGAGATTCGGAGATAGTTTGATTAAACGGTATTTAACCCGTTTGTCTAGCACCGACAATATCTGAAAATATTGAAATAAAAAGCTAAAAAGTTCTTAGCTTAAGTTTACAATTCAAATCCCACGTCTTCCCAACAACAACACTAACGCCTATAAACATTAAAATAAAAGGCTGAGATGTTCCAACTTTCCATTTCACAAGTTAAGTATTGTGCACTTCGAAACAAACATGCAATCAAGTAGCGGTCAGTCCCGAGGCGAATATAATTTTCTTATTTGTTTTCTTTTTTTAACACAATTTCATGCCCATGCAGCAATGTAAATACACTAAAGGTGTTGAACTAAATTATGTTTTTTTCTTTTTTCAACATATTTCCAAAGATAAGAGATTTTTGAAAAATCTTTTTCATCATTTATAATTTATAATTGCATACATATTTTAAAGCACCCATGCACACGTATGTATATATATATATATCTATATCTTGTTATGTATTTACATGTAGTTTTCTTTGATTACAGAAAACCGACTATAGTCCAGAGTTAAGTGGTTTACTTGAAAATTTGCATGTTTCTCTCAGCTCAACATTGGGTTTGCCTCAGACGGGTAAGCTTTGTAATGATATGTAAACTTATTTTTCTCCATAAACTTTCTCATGTGGACTGGTATACACCATGCTATAAAATCATATAAAATGCATAGACACTCAACACATACAGCATTCTATTATATAAGTTCACATATATACTAGCCATATGCATATGTTGCTGTATACATACACATTATGTGCATTACTGTCTATTTTTTCACAGATGCTGACATACTTACATAAATGCATAAATTTTTTCTTCTTTTATGTTTACAAATGATAAATGAATTTAACAAAAAAAAAATTTTGCATGTGTATGCATGTGTGAATGCTTATTTGTATGGTTGGATGGATGCCGAGTCATCAGAACAGCAACGAAAAAAGCGATAGGAATAAATATTCAAACATATCATTTTTACCCTGGTTTATATTTTTTGTTTTTGCTTTTGGTTTTTTTTTTTTTTTTGAAGGCATTATAACCATTAAGGATGAAATCAAGTATTGGCGGCAAAAAGCTAATCAAAAATCTAATTCGCGCTCTGAACGTGAATCGACTCAAACCTTTCTTCATATCTTACACAACATCGATCAGCTAATTGATAATATTGATTATGAGAAAACAGGTAGCATTGAAGAATTTTTAAATTCTTCTCATAATAATTTGGATGAATTATGGCGTTCCCCTTATCAATATCCTCAGCAGAGAATGGCCGGTTTAATGGATGTATTAGGTAAGTGATAAGTGAAAAAAAGCAATTAAAATAAGTAAGCACATTATATAACATACCGAAGGGAAGAACGCCTCGCAATTGTTCTATTGTGAAAAGTCGTTTTATGGAGGTGGTCGAAAAAGTGTACCAATCCGAGCTATTTTCAATAGCGTTTGTCCTTGAGCCAAAGCATGTCTATGCACCAAGTTAAGTTTGCGCGGATGCATGCGACATCCAGAAGAAATTGAGATAGACCTTTTACTACACCGGTCATTATACCCTACACCACTTGCGGTACATATTAACTTAGAGCGGACGTATGTAGCACGGCGAATGGCTTAAGATGGGCCCGCTTTTAACACACCCGTATAAATTGATCTAGGCCTGTCTGGCCGTCTGTCCGTCCGATGTTTGTCCATGTAAATTTGTGTTCAAGGTAAAGGTCGCGATTTTTGACATATTTGGATGAAATTTGGTATAGTGGCGTGTTTTGGCCCACGGGCGAACGCTATTAAAAATAGCTCAGATCGGAGCGCTTTCCATATAAGACCTTTTTTTTGAAAAGCTGTTATATGAGTACCTGCAAGGACGTGTAGGATATTTAATGGCGGACCGTGGACGATGCAGTGCTTTTATGCCTTCTCTTTTCAAAAAGACAAAACTACACTACTAATTAAGTAAACGAAGAGGTACGTGGAAAACTTTTATAAATATCGGCTGCGTAGATCTCGATTTGCGCAGTCCTCCTCGTTCTAATCGCAGAGTTATCATGAAAGTCAATCAGATCATGGTTTTAATTCACTTGGCCAATTATCGGCAAGGCAGGAAATCTTGGTTTTCACCGCTCATTTAAAAGGCAATAGAAAAACTTCTTCAGTTAACCTTAGAAACACTTTTGCTACATGCACAATAAAAGCTAAGATTAGCAGCCTCACTCTGGCATTTTCATTCTTAAAACGGACACAAAATTAGTCATTGTGTTTATTTATCATTATTTCTGTCACGTTCTATCAAAGCTTTTATTCTGACGCCAAAAAAAAATTTGCGCTAGAGCACTGTTGTTAAGTTTGAAAATCTTAATGTGGAAAGCAAAAAAAACGTCGTAGGTTGAGAGTAGGGAGCAAACAGCAGAAGGTCAATTAATAATACATAATTTTAAAATGATAACACGGCCCTTATTTTAATGGTTCAGCAACATTTTACTCTGCAATATAATAAAATTGATTAATAAGTGAATTAAAAAAAATAAATTAAATTTCATTCCATAGCCCTATTTTGTAACTGCTATTATAATTGAAATGTTTAGCGACATGCCAAAGAACAGAACGCAAATGTGTCATGTTTTTTATAATCCCCACACTTATGCGTCAACGTCAGAAAAACAAAAAACACAAACAGAGAACAAGATCGGCTTTGCCGCCGGTTTACAGAAATATACGGTTGATCTACAAACGACTGCGCTCAGAATAAGGGGATTGATGTACAAGACCCTTCTTCTTCTTTCTTTTCTTCTGTTATTGGCATCGTTCATAATAAATCCGCACATTGTTCAAGCTCTTAGTCGTTATAGTAATCGTGTGCAAGTTTTAAAAACCTTTCTTCTTAAAAAACGTCGGAATTCAATGACATGTAAACCATTTGTCCAACAGCATTACGTTCAATAGTCTGCTAAGACATTTTCCCGTTGACGGCCGATACTAGATACATCATTACACTTATTTGTTTTTGTTTAATTTAGGCGATCAACTTATGCACATATGTTTGGATCCATTGCCCAAAGACGATGTCTGGAATATAAACAACTGCCATGTGACAAATTTAATGAGTCAATTACTAGACACTGCGGACTCATGGCTGCAGCTTTGTGATTCTTTGACACGCCTATTTTGGCCAAACTATGCTAAGCATCCTTGGATTGGAGAAACTCATCTACCTAAAGGCGTCCAATTACTAAAGGAACGCATTTTGGATATGCGCAATATTAAAAATCTTTATAAACAAATCTCATTTTTGCTCAACGACTATGAGATGGAAGATATAATGCGCACGGAGTCACCCTTTAAGAATTTTAATATTTTCGAAACTTCAGTTTCGGGTCAGACTAAATGGAATAAGGCTTTGCAACGATTTGAGGAATTGCTAGAGCCAATAGATGAACGCATCGGGAATGCATTAAAGGTGCAGCTAAGTCAGCATTTGAGTAATCCTCGACAGATCATATTTATATTCTCTAAATATGAGACGCTAATACAGAGACCAACGGTTTTAGAATTGTTAACTATTGAGCGGGAACAATTTGTGCAATCCTTGCATATATTACTACAGGATTTACGTAAAGCCATGATAGATACTAATATGGAGCCCGACACGGCTCATTTGTCAGTTATATGTAATGAATGCCGTTGGCTAAAAGTAGTACAACATGAGGTACTGATAGTTTATAACGTACCATGTCAACAGTACCATATTATTATAAATTTCAGATACAAGAAGTTGAAAAAGTTAGTCATTTGATTAACGACCGTGAAGGTTTTGATATAATCAATAAGGCCACACAGGAGATCAAAGAGGAGACCGAATCTTTGTTGAGAACTAATTTTGAGATATGGTGCGGCCAGTGCACTACCGCAGTGAAAAGTGGTGAACTTAAGTATGGATTCGGATAAATCCGTAAATTTTTAATATGTCTGTAAAACTTAATTTCAGTTTACGAGACGATCAGCCTGTTGTGAAATTCGAAAAAGAAGGTCGGCAACTAATGAGTGTCACTTTTAATCCACAGTTAATCACTTTCTGCCAAGATGTTAGCGAATTCACAAATCTGCACTTTAATGTTCCTTCCGAACTACGCACGGCAGCCAAGCATGCCTCTAAATATATCTGTTTTGCTCGTCGATTACAACAAATAGCTACATTCCATAATACTATTGGAGACCGAATGATACCTTGCCAGCGACCCATAATGCTTAAGAACGCTGTGGAACTTGCGAAACTGGTGCACAGTGAAACTGTAGCATGGATCGATGAAGACGCGGTGCAACGTTATGTAAGCACCTTGCAAGAAGCAGTGTCGAAATTATCTTCTGACAACGCGTTATTAGTAGGCTATCACGAGCAAGCGAAAAGAACGGTTTGTAACCTAAGCCTAGATCCATCCAATTAATTCTGACAAGGGATAATTATGCAGGTCGTAAAACTGATGAATACGGATCTAATAAACCAAAGCCAAATTTGGAAAGAAGAAATGCGACATTTGCGTGAACTAATCGCTTGCTTGGAACGTCAAGGTTTTACAAATCTAGAGGCATTTAAACTTCACTGGGATCATCAGCTTTATAAGGTTTTAGAGTATCAATATATTTTGGGCTTGGTCGAGATGAACAACAAACTACCGGACATACATGTTAAGATAGCTTTTCGGTAAATTATTTGTTTTTCGAAGAGTCTGGTTTCATTCTATTACCGTGAAATCTATGAACTCTTTAACAGTCCTTTTCGATTGACTTTTTCTTTAGACAAAGGCAACTCTGTTTTATACCTCCCGAAGAGGAGATACAGGAAAAATACTTTTCCCAACTCTCGCGATTCATTGAACGACCATGCGGTTTTCGCGGCCTTTCCGATAAGAGTTCTGAACTATTTAAAGCCATGGTGGAGAACAACCGGCAATATCTTGGTCCTCTGTACAAAAGAGCTGGCGCGTTATTTGAAAAGTTGGATAAGTTTAAGCAACTGTGGTTGTCTTGGGTAGCGTTGGGTTCTGTAGATATTGAAGAACTGTGCGGCATACATTTGCAAGCAGCTAAAGATTGGGATCGAAATTTTCATCAATGCAAACATTACGGTCAAAAAATTGCAAAAATTCAAAAGTAAATCGAAATATTTCTCTATTGTTGAACAAACAAATACTCATTTCGCTTGCATTTCCAGCACGGAGGAATCTATTGATTGTATAGTAATCGATATTTTACCTTTACGTTGTGATATAGAGCTGCTAAGTCGACGTTATTGGGAAGCTTTATCGGGGAGTTTGAAAACATCTATACTTGCTGATGTATCCGTGATCAAAGAATTTCTGCAAAGCGCTTCACAGTTTGTACAAAATGTCGCTATCGACGAGGCCTCGATCACGGAGTCGAGCATACGATATGAAAACATTATGACAGAATTGCCTAAAATCTCCGAAATTTTAGAATTGGTCAAAGCCAAGGACAAATGTCTAGCAGGTTGGTGTAAAGAACGTGTTACTTCTTTGGTTAACATATTGGTGGAATGGGAAAAATTGCAACCTATGCTAAGTAATCATTCAGCGATATTACAACGTCAAGTGGAAATGATTAAGGATCAAGCTCAGACTCAAATGGAAAATTTGAGAAATGAAGCTGAAAAGTTTAAACTAAGATGGGAATATACTGTGGCAGAATTGGCAGCCAACGACGAAGCTTCTTTAGACATGTTTAAAGAACGTCGGAACTATTGGCAGCAAATATTAGATAAGAAGACCCGTTTGGAGGAGGAATGTAAAAAATTTAATATGATTTTTACAGAAGGGCAATTAAAAGTGTTCCATGATATTGATAACATCGTCAATGAACAATCCAAAGAATGGCTGACTTACAATGAATATCTCAATGAATTGCACGATATTTTAAAAGAAGAGTGGTCAATATATAGGCATCGTCCTTACGTTCTCAATGAATTTATTACAAAATGGGAGGGATGCGTACAAAATTCCATTGATTTGTCTTCAAAACGGATCAGACAAAACGTAGAGCTGTTGCAAAGTTGTCTACCTCTATTACAACAGCTACAGGCCGATTCGCTGACCGAAAGACATTGGTTGCAGATATTTGCTTTAACAAAACAAGGAAACCACGAATCTGTGCACAGTTTTACTTTAAAAGAGCTCCTCAGGGACCCAATGCTGTTACTGCAAAATGCCAATGAAATTTCGCAAATAGTTAGGCAAGCTTCTTCAGAGCAGATAGTACGGCAAGCGTTAAATGAATTGGATCAATGGTCTGTAATTAGTAATTTGAAATTGATCTCGCATCAAGATACCTTCGGCAACTCCTTGAACTTGATCAAAGACTATCAAGAAATATTAAATAAAATTTGTGACAATCAGTCATTATTGCAATCGGCTAAAAATTCATCAGCCTTTGGAGCTTTCTCAGACCAAGCCGAACTGTGGGAGAGTAGACTTAATTCATTGGAAGTTATATTGACGAGTTTAAATCAAGCACAAAGAAGGTAAGCAAGACTTCTTTTATTTATTATCGAAGAAGGCCTGCGAAGTATTTTTGATCCTTTGTGAAAGAAAAGGCACAAAAAGGAAACCAAAACTTAAGCCACGGTCGTCTGCCGATGATTGAATAAGAAAATACGCGTGGTGCGCCTACCCCAATAAGCTACGAACTTTAACTGATACCACACTTAAGAAGTATTGAACTAAAGCTGGATATAAATATTTTCTAGAATTATTCAGAAAATCAATAATGTCCTGATAATTCATTTGGCTGTAGAGATTGAGTTCCACCATACCCGATAACGCATGCCAATTGTGTTAAGCGTCAAGTGAATGCTTACACATATAGTCACAGCCTCCTCTCGGAGAAGCATTAGGCCCCATCAATAAATTCTTATTTAAAGATTTTTGGTAACAATAGCCATGACGAAACTCCCTGTAGGTCTGCGTTAAACCTCAAACTTCCTTATAAGAATACGATTACGGGTAAAAGAAAACTATGGGACCCCGTTATTAGGCATTGCTTTTACTTAACGGACGTCAAAAAATTCGTAGCATTTGAAAGTTAAAAAATATTTTTTACTGTTTTTTATTGTACACATATCGTACTTCGCTGTTTGTTATATTTTTTTGTTTTTGTTAACCATTTGTGTACCGTTCAGATGGGTCTATCTGGAGCCTGTGTTTGGTTCGGGTACCTTACGCAACGAGGAAGCTTTGTTTAAACGTATTGACAAAGATTTTCGTTATATAATGCGTGAAATAAAAATGGATCCAAAAATCATGTCATTAATAAAGATCAACAACATAACTACTATTGTAAAATCGTTGGAATCTCAACTTACACGGTGTCAGAACAATTTAATGTCCTATATAATGGTAAACAAAAAGAAAAGAAAGAATGTTTTCTCACATATATATATATATAATATATATAAATTCAAAATTTCCTTTAGGAGAAACGCAATAGTTTTCCACGTTTTTACTTTCTGGGTGATGACGATTTACTGGAAATATTGGGTCAGGCCTCGAAAGATCCCGAAATCATACAGAAACATATAAAGAAACTTTTTCCCGGTTGTCATAGTTTGCAAATTGTCCAAGGATCCAAAACTGTTGGTAAAACATCTTATGTCATACAAGCACTGCAAAGCGCTGAAGGAGATTTTATAACACTTAAGCAACCAGTAGAAATGACTGGATCCATAGAGGTATCGAAGATAATGAAATATTCAATGAGATAATACTCAAAAAAAATTATTGAACTTATTCTTCTCTTCTTTCAATTTTATCAGAATTGGTTAAATAATTTGGTAACAAACATTCAGCATACACTTAAAAGGCAAATGATCGAATGCATGAATTCATATCCCATTGATGGGTTTAATGAAAAGCTGCTACAGCAATACGTAATGCAAGTTTTATCAACTACACGAGCCATAGAGTTTACGAAACAAACTGAAAAGTCAATACAGTCAATGTCTTTACAAAAATTGCAAAAACAATTGAATGCTGAAATCTCTAAATATGTTGAATGGAAACGTGAGAGCAAGGACAACTTATTACAGATAAAATTACGTTGCATACTATTCGATTTGGTGCACTATGTAACCGTTGTGGAGCAACTAATACAACAACAAGTGATGCAATTGAACGATTGGCATTGGTTGGCACAGTTGAGATTCTATATGAGCGATGAGAGTGTCAACAGCAATGGTAGGGTATTGGTGCGAATGGTTTATGCAGAATTTGAATATTCATATGAGTATCTGGGTAATCCTAATAAACTTGTTAGTACACGTCTAACGCACAAATGTTATCTCATACTGACACAGGCCATGAATATGGGTTTGGGTGGTAATCCCTTTGGACCGGCTGGCACCGGTAAAACTGAATGTGTTAAAGCCTTAGGTGCGTTACTAGGACGTTTGGTATTAGTATTCAATTGTGATGAGGTATGTGGCCAAGTATGTCTAAAAGTACCTGCATTTGCTCGTAGATACAAACATGTTTTCAATTTTATGCAAATTTTATATATATGCTAGAAAAACATCTTTACATACAACAACAATTTTTTTGTCTCTCGGTACTCGCACTTAAAAATGATTTTGAATTTTATGCATTTTTATAGAATATCGATACAGATTCAATGGCTTTAATACTGACTGGTTTGGCTCGTTGTGGTGCCTGGGGCTGTTTTGATGAATTCAATCGCCTGCAAGAAGCCACACTCTCAACCATTTCTATGCTAATACAACCCATACAAAGTGCTTTAAAAGAGAAATCAGATTCAGTACAAATTGCCGAAAAGAATGTAAGTGTTTTTTAATTAATCGAACCGTTTTGCATGCGCACTTAAAGGTATATTTTTAAAATTCAGTTACGTTCATATTAAGCAACCCGAGATATTTTGTTATTTCAATTAAAAATAATTGAATTGAAATTTATATCGTACTAGCTATGGATATGCATACATTCCGGTCCGAATGAGAAATGCCATAAGTTATTTCGAAACGCGTACGTAAATGCAGCGGAATTGAACTCATTACAGTTCAGTATCTTTAGGAAAACTTGCAAATAAATTGCTTTCTGCCCATATCCACAATGACCAGGTTGCTTTCAACGTTTCTTTCGCCAACGAAAAGTTTTTATGTTTATAACTCAACTAAGAAAAAATTGAAGAAAAATATCACAACCAATAAGCGTAAGATTAAACCACGATTCATAACCTCGAAGTTTACGCACATATATTAAACAATCAATAAGCCTAATAAAATTAAGAAGAATTAATGCAAAGGATCAACAAACAATAAAAACCCATCATATATTGACCTTATCGCCAATATAAACAAACGAAACAACTTTAATTTAAGCTTAAAATGGCAACTTCTCCTACAAACAAGGCGATTGTTTTTTGTAGGCAAGGAATATTTGTTCCTTGATAACTAACTCTAGTTTAACGCTTCACAACATAGGAACTCATCGTCTGGCTAAAAAAACTTGTACAGGAAAACCTTTATACAGGAAAATCTGTTATAGTACCGATCTCTTGTTAGAATTTGTTTTTACGCAAATTTACCGCTTACTTCCTTTCCCATTTTGTTCAGTTGCTTGCTTAGTTTTTATAATGCCTTACATTTAACCGAATAATTTTCACTCTCCGACGAGTTTGGTTAGTTAATCAACTCCATTTCAGTTATGTGCTCTCAAGTTAGATCAAATGAAATTCTGCACCGTTCGATTCTCTCGATTGTTTTCGCTTTTCCGTACTCTGCAACATTTATGGTGAGATTGCAAGAATATGCCGACCTATGTGACACTCATAACGATCTGAGACAGAAAACCGTCCTTTATTGTAACAATCACGTCAGAATCACTTTCGAAACCTTACTGAGTTTGTCTTCCCGTCTGTCAATGCAACTCGCCCTATGCAAAACAAATCAAAATCGATAGAAATAAATATTTGTACATGCTGGATGAATGTCCGTCCCCTACGAACGTCCTTACAAAAGGTAAGCGTTTATATGGCAGCAAAGTCGACTTTATAGTAGTTTACAATAAAAACGTGCCACGATAGCGGCTTTAAATATAAATTTACTGCACTGAATTCGGACCTCTTCCTTATCGATGAAAAGTAATCAACAACAAACGTGTCTAATTCTTGTTTTTTGCGACGAAATTCGAAATGTTAGGCAAAACTAAGTTCTATGACAAAAAAAGGTAGCTTTATAAGCTTGGATATCCCGCATAAAAGGACCCTATGAAAAGTCCTTATTCTAGATAAAGTTATGTAGACTGTTTGAAGGTTGGCCTTGGGCGAATTTAACACTTTAACGTGTTTACTAATAATTGTTTATCCGAGTTCAATCGCTGTCAGCAGGGAAACTTGCGACCGATATTTCGGGTACTTCGGAAATTTTGAATGAAAATTTTGCACACTGTGACTTAAAATGACCATGCAATGTGGTAAATAAAGTAAAATTTTTTTCTATATTCAAAATGGCGACCACTAATGTTTTTTTTTTTTACAATCGGCTTGATATGGATATCAAATAAACGTACTTGGAAAATAGAGTGCTTAGATAAAAACATTATAGCCGAGCAACGTTGAGCGTCAAGTATTTCCACGGTATCGCCTAAGAGAATTTCTGTTTTATTTTCGCGATAAAAATCAAGAATTATAGCCTGCTGTCATGTAAAGGCTTACTTCTCGTAAGAATCGGTATATTAGGACGGTTTCAAAAAATATATTTACGTGGTCTAAATTTGGTACAGTTAGTTTATGCGTCAAATTACTCTGTTGAAACAAATAACTGTTATGTGGAAGGGCATAAAAAAAATTGGGCGATCCGATCTAAATTTTATACATCAGCTACAGTGTCCAAATATTAACATTCGTCGCGAAATTTTAATGTTTGCAATTTTTTCATATAACGAGGAGTGGCGTCGGATGAGGAGGGGTCGTAAAAGTGGTTCAATTCAATCAATTCCTATAGTGTTCGCTTTGTAGTTAATTGTTTCGACCTTACTTTTAAGCACAGTTGTCTTTACACAGCCGGAACATAACTCTACTAGTTGAAGTTATTTGTACTTTAACTGCTATCACTTTTCTTTTTATTCTATTTGTTCCACAAAACTTTAGATTAAATTAAATAACCATTGCGGAATTTTTGTTACTCTAAATCCAGCGGGAGCCGACTATGGCGGCCGTCAGAAATTACCAGGGAATATACAAGCGTTATTTCGGCCGATTGTAATGCAACAACCAGAACCGCAAGAAATTGCTCGTGTTATGCTGTTTGTAGAGGGCTATCAGCAGGCCGACGAAATTGCCGAACGTTGCGTGGAGTTGTTTAATATGTGCGCTAAGATATTAACAAACCAACGACACTATGACTGGGGATTACGAGAGTTGAAAACCATACTTTTGGCTTGCGGCAAAGAGCTGCGCGAACATTCAGCAACAGCAACATCAAAAACAACTGATGTTGTCGGAGACAGGGAAATGTTGTTGGTCGTGCGATGTTTACGGACATCAATTATATCTAAGCTGACGCGACAAGATGTGACGCGCTACGATATGTTGTTGCAAAACGTATTTCCAGAAATTAAAGACAGCGTGAGTAAAACAAATATTGTTTCAACGGCATCGTGCATACAACAGGCAATCAGAGATGCTTTCAACCCATTGCATCTATGCATTAATGAACAACAAGTGTTGAAAGCTGTACAATTACACGAACAATTGCAAAAGCGTATGGGTGTAGTGGTGATGGGTCCGCCCGGTTGTGGCAAGTCTACATTATTGACCTTGTTGCGTTATGCATTAACAAGCATCAGTTTTGATGGCCATAAGCAAGTGCGTGTCCACACTATTAGCCCTAAGTCGATGACGCGTCTACAATTGCTGGGTCATCTTGATGCTGATACACGTCAGTGGTATGATGGCGTATTAACACAAACAGCAGTTACTGTTAATATAGAAGCCAAACACATACACTCATGGATTGTTTGCGACGGCAGCGTCGATCCCGAGTGGATAGAAGCTTTAAATTCGGTATTGGATGATAATAAGTGAGTAAAATTTGAGCGAATGAAACCTTCTTTTGCTTTTATAATAATTAATATACGTGTTTTTGTTTTTATTGGCATAAATTCGTTTTCTTAACATAGAATTACTATTATTATTGCGTGTGTTTGCATGTGTGGGTATGTGTGCACATGCGATATTAATGTGACGAATTAAAGAGAATTAATGTGTTGCATTTTATTAGGTAATAATTATCTGCTTATATTCCTTCCGCAGTTCTCCTCCAATAACTGCATATAACTGGATTGTGTGTGTGTGCGTATGTGTCCGTTTTTATAAAAAAGAAATATATTATCTTGCGCAGTGACAATTCGGTTACGGTTTAACTAAAACTAAAACAAATTAAAAGTAAATCACTTGAAGAAGGCAGTCATTCATGTACGATAAAACAAAAGTACTCGAAACAAATAATGGGGCACCACGGGCTTGTGAGCTTTAATAATAAAAAAGTTTAAACATTTAAAAATTATAGTCAAACAGAACTCTACTGCCTTATTAATTCCTACCATGTGGAAATAATGATCTGATGAGTTCTGATCATGTGATGGCTTAACAGTTAATTTTTTAACCTAACTATTAATGCTAGTGATAAGGTTTATTTCTTAATCTTTTTTTTTTTGTTTTCGTTTCTTTATCTTGCAAAATTTTAATCAAAACTTTAAAGAAATGAAAAATCGCGCTTATTGCGCTTTAAACACATAAATCACTGGTTAGTGTTGCTGAGTTATAGGATTGTGTGCCTGCCTGGAAGTTTGTGAAGGATTGTTAGTTGGTCCTGTGGGCGGTGGGGGAGGCGGTATGGCTGCTGCATGCGCGCGCATGTGCGCCGTCATATGAGCTGGTGGCGTCATATGTTGAAACATATTACACTGTTGCTGATGCAAATGATGCGAATGCGCATGACTGTTAAAGTGATGCGGAGCCGCTATTATCTCTGGTGATGTTTGCAAAATAATTTCTGGCTCAATCATAGGCATTTCATGATCGTCGTTATTATTGCCAGCACCCGGCATACCGCCTCCACTTCCCATGGTTTGATTGTTTTGTGTATTGCTTGGGCCTTCGCTGCCCGGATTGTACTCTTGTTTAATGCCATTTTGCGGATACAAGGACGCACTCAAATTTTGATGTAATATAGGATGGCACAGTGAAGGCATTAGAGCTGGTATAGGCAGTGGATGATGAGGAAAACTTGGTGCCGGATATAACAGGCCTTTATTCAATTGAGGCAAATGAGCGGTTGCAGGCATTACGGCGACACTTGAAGAATTATTAATATTACCCATATTGGCGCTAGGATTTCCGGTGCCTGAATTATTGGAGTTTGTTATATTATTCAAATTGCCATTGTTGTGTATTCTGCGCCTGTGATTATCGGGTGGATGATGCTGCTGTTGTTGCTGCTGATGTCCATGATTTTGTTGTTGTCTACTTTGTTGGTGCTGTTGTTGTTGTGGCTGTTGTTGTGCCGCTAATTCCGGTGGTGGCAAAGGGTCTGATATAATAATTTCTGGTTCCACTGGTGTCGGAGCTATTAAATTAAATTGCTGTGCTATCGCTGCTTCGTCCACTATAATGCCCTTTTTGCGTTCTTTACGTATTTTTTCACGTAGTTTCTCCAATTGTCGAAATGCTTCATTGGCTCTACGAGCTTTTTTCCGATCCCGATCACGTTCTTGCTCTAAACGGCGATATTCGGGATTCATGCGTTTTATACGTTTACGTTCACGGTCTCTTTCACGTAATAAGTCTTTATATCGTATTTCCTCCTCGGGTGTCAACTAAAATGAAATACGATAAACAAAGCTGCTTAGTTATATAAATTTATATTTTTAAAACTTTAGTTAAAATTGAAAAAATAAGAAAAAAATCGTAAACGTACGCTTACCGTTCACTACCAGAAAACGACAATTTTATCAAATAAACCGGTTTAATCGGGAAAGAAAACAGTGATCAATTTATGCCTAAAAAAGTTTGCTAGATTGATTGTTATATGACGGATGGGTGAATGTTTTTTCAAAATTCACTCCCATATTCCAGGCGGCGACTTTTGTATATATTAATGGGAGATAAGATCGTTCTAAAATTTTTTTTAATGCCGAATGCTTTCAGGAAGCAAATGCTAATCCGGCTTTACTCCTTGTCCATTGATTTCAAAATGTAGAAGTCAATTCAGTTTTCTTCTTTCGCGAAATCACTCTGTTTAATGCGCTCAGAAAGGCTTCCTACTCTAACATACGATGCAATTCAAGTTTACTTATAAGATTCTGATTTGTTATACAATTTCAGATTATTAACTCTACCCTCCGGTTGGCGCATACAATTCGGTAATAACGTTAATTTTATATTCGAAACTGACGATTTACGGCACGCTTCACCAGCTACCATATCACGTATGGGCATAGTAAATATGAAGTAGGTTTCTAAAACTCCTCAAAAACTATCTATGATTGCATTTTCTTTTCTTTTCTTTTCCTTTAATTTTTTTTTTTTTTTTTTTTTTGTGAATCAGCTACGAGGATTACCCACTTAAATCTATTATGAATTACAATGTAAAAAAATTTGAATTTCCGGACTTGTTGCAAAGTTTCATAGAAGAGATCTACGAACCGGCGATATTATGGATAGAAAAAGAATATTTGCAGTAATGTCATAAAGAAAAGTTATAATTAAAAAACCACTATCAACTATAACTAATTATAAATTTTTGCATTTATTTCTAATAGCATTCCAGCGCTAGCACGCGCAGGTATGATGCGAACTTTAATGTTGAAATTACGTGCCTGCGGTGGCCCTGATTTATGCATACAAAGTCGCGAACAGTTTACGGTAAATGCTTGTCAAGCGGCTTTAGGATTCTTACCCAATGAACGGCACAATGAATTCGCTAATTGGCTTTTCGAAAAGGCCAACATCTACATAACAGCTAACGCCAACCACAAGGCAGAAATGTGCTACTTTAGCAAAGCAAATAACTCCATACAAATGTACGAAAGTGATGAGCAGCACAACGAGCACGAAGAACTTGTGCAAACAGCCGCCGTGAAAATGTATTTAGATAACATACATGTTTTACTAGAAGCACCTGCCGCCAGCAACAGTTTCCTATTAGTCGGTCCTGCGGGAGCAGCCAAGACCTAGTTAATGCGTTATGCGGTACAAGAGATGAACGGTTATGATTTGGTTGTCATTAATTGTTCCGCCCAAATGACTCCGGCCTATGTGTTGCGTTGTGTAAAACAAGTAAATGAATATCTTTCATATGTAAAATACTTCCAACACATTTTAATTTTAAAAAATTTAAATTTTGTTGCTTCTTTTATATAATTTTTCTAGAACTGCATTGCAGTAAGCGGTGTACGTGGTCGAGAATATAAACCCAGGCAGCAGCGTTTAGTTGTGTTTTTAAAAAATTTAGATCTTTGTTATTTGGATACGTGGCAATGCAATGCAGTCGTTGAATTATTGCAACAAATAGTGCAGCGCCAAGGCTTTTATAACGTTACCGACTATACTACTGCTCCCACTACTAATACTACTACTTCTACCGCCGCCGCCACCACCACCACCACCACTATCAGCAGCAGCACCATTGCTGATAAGGCGGCAAACAACGCCAGCAGCCTTTCTAATAGAGGCTCTGGCAATATCAACAATAACAACAGCTTGGAATGGATAAATGTAAGTGGTTTGCAAATATGTGGTTCCATTTCGGAGACGATAGCATCTGCGACAGCTAATGCAACTTTACTGAAAATTGCACCGCGTTATTTGGCTATAAATCATCAAGTGCGCATAGCCAATCCCAGCCCAACGGATATGTTAACCGTATTGCAGCATAACTTGGAACCATTGTTGGTGGGGCGAAGTGGCAACGGTCGATCGGTAGCGCACTTCAAAGGCTTCACTTCACAAACTGTACAATATATTGCCGAAGGATTAATGGATTTCTATACGAAGGTTTGTAAACAGTAACTACTTTCTCGATATTAATATTTTAAAAGCTCTTGCGTTTGTCTTTAAATATGTGCAAACACACAAGCACAGTTGCAAATGGCTTTTGTCTCAATCACTACGAGGACGGCCTCTGCTACAACGAGCTCAACTCATTGCCAAACACTCTATCAATTTTCTCCAAAATTTCTACTAAAAACGTTGGAAAATCTCAAATATTATCCAGGGCAATCTTTCTATGAGGTAAGTATACTTTATTTTAATCACTGAGATAACCAGGTGTGTGTGTGTGTATACGAACGAGCACATATACACACACATATACATACGCTCTTAAAGTGTCTTAAATTGCATCCAACAATAAATTTTAATAGTCTTTGTTTATGTTATACTACAATTACTTTACTTATTTATTCCCTTACTTATCAAGGCCTTGCATTGCGAATTGTTATCTATATTTAGGGACCGTTTGTCCACAACAGAAGATATTGAAAGGTTTGATGCTGTTTTAAAACAAACATTGCGTAAAATTAAGAGCAACGAGGTAAGAGCGGATAACATTTATACATTTTATTTAAAATGGCTTTAAATTTGCATGTTGGTGACCTAAAACGAATCGAAAAATGCTGAATGACTATTTAGCAATTTAAATTAACTCTTCAGACATTCTATTTATCAATTAATTAACTCGGGTAAAAAGTTACACTGAGCAAAGCGAAGTTAAAGCCAAGTTGCTCAATATTCTTTTAAAATAAACTGATTTATTCGATATTATTGAAATTGTGCTAAGTTCTTAACTAGTTAACTGGCTAGGGTGAGCATATACATCATGATCCGTCCGGCGATCTTAGACTGTTATCTTGCGAGATAAGCTTAGACAATGCACTCAACAATCAATTTTTTATATAAATTATTATTTGCTCCTCAGTTTATATTATGATATTATGATATTTTCTCTCCTTAAACTTTTTCCTTTGATTTTGTTTTAACAAAAAAAAGCCAATCCGGCACTTCGTGCATTCCGCCCTATTTAACGTGCAATGACAACGCATAGCTTGGCGGACTCTACAGTACAAGCCCTTCAATTTGACATCCATAACAAGAGGATTGTCAAAAAACAAAAGATAATCCACGGTTTTGTGGCGGCCGTCATACTGAATATACGAAAAAATAGGTTGCATTGCCATCGGAATTAAAGGTGTGTGAACACTTTCAATGTGAACAAACGTACAAAGGTGCTCAAAACACAACAATTGACGATTTTCTCTTGTTTCGCCCTCGGTTTTTGTACGTTTCCAACGCCTGCAAGGAACTTTCAGAGACCCCGCAAAGCGTACATATGCTTGATCAGCAACAAATTCTGAATCGGTTTAAGCATGTCGGTCTACACGGCTGTGCAAGGTCTATTGTAACATTCTCTTGACCGTAAAAATCAAGCAGTCGAGTCAAACTTGGCAAAGGCATTAGAAGTTTTGCGCGTAAGTTGGAATTGAAAACGTTTCGCGTCCGTCGAAAAACACGCACCTATAGTAAACTGAGAACACCTTTTCCTTGTTATTCTATGGGCGATTCCGTAAAAGCTGCACAAAAATGGGAAACATTGACCGCGTCGACCCAATATAATCAATATAATATAATAGTAAAACCCCAATTATAATTTATCAATCCGCCTGGGTGGAGTTTAGTCTTAGAATTTATTTCTCTGGCGAAATTTATAATAATAATAATAATAATAATAATAATAATAATAATAATAATTTATCAAAATTTATTTTTTTTGTTAATGCTTTTACCGCGCAAAAGCAGCGTTCAAAAATCCCATATCCATAAAGCATATATATTCTTGATCAGCATCAAATTCGAAATGAACCGAAACTTGTCCGCCTACCAAACTATGTAGTATCTATCGCAAACATTCTCCCTTGAGCAATAATAAAGACATGGCCTATCAATTTGGATAAACATCTGAGAATGACCCAAACCGCTCAAAGGACACATCTATAACGCTCACACGTCTCTGAGACAAGAATTTCAAACACCTTTTCTCTCCGTGTTTATTACTTGTTACTCATGAAGTGCAACACATACACCATACAAGTATTCACGTTTACTCTGAAAATAGAAAAAAATATCCACGCCCACCCAATATTAAAGATTATGAAAACTTAGTCAATAAGTAATTAATTTACTTGATTGTCAGCTAAAAAATTCTTGGTTAGTTACCAAGAAAAAAATAAGGTGACGCGGTACCCTGGCATAGTCGAAATTTGACTAAGTTTCCTCTAAAAAAAAATAATTCCGACGATATATAAGCTATACACTTTAGTAACAAGTTAAATTGTTACAATTAAAGGGCAAAACCGATCTGAAATAGATACTTACGACACTATAACCGTAACAAGATTGATAACAAAATAGTGGGAACTACGCTATATGCCAATTAATAAAAGAAAATTTCTCGTAAGAACTTTTAGATGAAAGAGGTTCAAATATGTCCCCGACCTATTCAAATTTTCCATATCCATTTAGTATGTCGAAAACAAAGTGTAATTTTACTTTTTCCAAAAATACTTTGAATAGATAACAATTTTTATCGAAATAATTCGGAAATTTCAGCGCATTAGTAATACGCAAAAATACACACATCGGGGACACATACGGAGAGACCTGCTTAAAACAATTGAAGAAATTGACTCTGAATCCTTCGATTCAGAGAACGTTCGAATTATTAAAATTCGCTTCAAAACAGGTATAAATTTTTTGATCGAAAAATTCCAGTCATTGTGGGTATAAAAACTCTTATCTAAAAGCTCTTTCTGCTGTTAAATATCCACATCCATCTATAGCTTAATTAAACGAAGTTGGATTCCTTGCGGGCTAAATCCAGGCAATTGTCGGCAGTCTACTGTGAGTAGGACAATCTTATACCACTTAGAATGCTTCTAGTACACCGAACCTGCCAGTTCGGACTATAATGCTTTTGGCTTGTCAGCGTTAAACCACCTCTCACTCAATACGAGAAGTAACAGGACAGCAACGCCAAGCACTCAACCATGCTAGTACTTCCCACATCCGAGTGCACCTTAGATCTCCATGGTCAGTAGGTAACTTCTAATAACTTCGTTAGCTTCTCGGTGGAGAAGCCGCCAGTAACCTATGTCGAACAACTGATCAAAGGACTTTGAACGAGGTGTATCATTTTCTCTTATTTGTTTGCAAATTATGCGGCAAATGAAGAAAGCCTGCTGTATTTCAGGCCGAAGAGAATCAGCCATCGCTTCACTGGTGTTGTCATAGTTGGAAAAGTTCTGTGACTATTTGTCCACAGTGTCTCGACAGTGGCAGCTGTAGGCCGATGAAAGCGGTTCTCATCACTTATAATAAATTTGCTCTAAAAAGTGAATTTTCAATATTTTAAAGCGCTAGTGCGCCGATTCATATTTAAAAAACTTCTCTCTGGTTCTTAGTTGTCGTAATGAAAATTACATGTTCCCAATTTAAACAGGGCGAGAAATTTAGAGCGATCTCCTTTGTTAAAGGACGGTCATCTTGTTTGGCGAAGAAAAAAAGGAATAGTAATGAATGATCAGAAAATAAAGATTTCTGTGTCTGAACTCAGTTGTTTTTAAAAAATGTATATATAAAGTCTGTCTCGACGCTGGTACTAAGTAAATGTGGTTGATTAGAAAAGCCAATACGTTGTCCATAGCAATATGTGCTCTAGTTATGCTAAGTCAGATATATTAACCCGTTTTTTTAATTTCCCTAAGATTTTTGATAAGTTCCCGATGACTCTTTGTATTGACCGTAAATAGAAGTTCATTTATAAATCAGTTTATCCTTTGGCACAAGTTGCGACTCGTCATCGATTAGGCTCCTTTGAACAAAATAAAAGTAAATCCGAAATTATGTTCTAGAAGGGCATCTGTTAAGCAAAACTGCCCGCGTGTGCATTATTAAGTTTAAACAACTGTAATAGGAAACAATTGTAAATTATTGTTTGCTCTTCTTTCATTTGCCGATGGCAGAAGATTTACTTTGTACCGAAATCATTACAAATTGGCAATAGATTGCAAGCATTGCAACATGATGAATGGCTGGAAGAGGTACAAAAGCAAATTACGATATGCAGTAAGTACCAAACAAACAAGCATACATAAGTAAGCAAACACATATACGTCAAAGTAACTTATCAATTTTCACAGATTCGGAAAGTTTAGTCATCGATGCACCACTGACCACAGAATTGTTAGAGCAGACAGCCAAGGTTGTACGTTTGTTGGCTCGTCCTCAAACACATGTGTTGCTGGTGGGGTCAGCGGGGAGTCGCCAGTTCGATAGCATATACATAGCTGCCACAATGCAACAGGCTAAAGTACATTTGCTGCAAGCAAACAGCGCCCGTTACGGGTTACACGAATTTTGCAATGATTTCAAGCTGGTAAGGGTTTGATAATGCATGCCTCACAAGGACACTTATATACACGCACAGTATGCGTGTCATGGTATCGCTATACAATTAATTAATTTCGCTTAGGCAATGCAAACGGCTGCTTTAGATAATCAATGCACCTGCTTAGTGGTCGAACATTTTTGGTTAAATTATGCCCCGGAAATATTGAAACCGATTGAAGCTTTACTAGAGGAAAGTGAGACGTTGGATTTGTTTGACGATGATTTAGAATCACTAGCCAGTTCGTTAAAACCAAACGCCCAATTAGAGGGTTATCAAGAATCAATGGCATCATATTTTATGAAACGTATGTATTGCTATTACATTTAGGAAAATTATTACAAAGCAAATAAGAAAATTTAATTGTTATCATTTAATTTAGGTGTTCATCGGAATCTACATATAATCATTTGCTTAGATTCTGCGAGTCCTAAAATTAATGAATATTTCAATAATTATCCTGCATTGCAGCGTAAAATGGAATTGCTGTTCATTAAACCAACCTCTCAGAGCACTTACGCTTCTTTGCCCAAAAAATACATTGAAATTTTAAGCGACACGTCTACAACGGCGAATAATAAAATTTCAATTCCCCGTCATTTCAATGAGATTTTAGATAATTTTCTCAATCAAGGGCCGCCTTTAAGATTTTATCAATTAATCAAGTCTTACTACTTCATCTACGGAAAATTCTCTGCAGACATCAACAAACGATTAGAAAAGTTGCAGGTATGAAATTGAATGTGCTTTATTTACGAAAGAAAAAAAAAACATAACAAGGAAAAGTCGAACACATGAATTGAGTTTGCTGTTTTGTTTAACAATGCGAACACTTGAGCTTTTATCAATAAGGGGCCAGAAGTTTTGCAGTAACTAGTTCGTCCATCGGTGGATGACAAAACTGAACTAAGTAACCCCAAAACCCTAAGCAGTCATATTATTTTTCATTGATCGAAAGTAATTAGAAGAAGGAAGAGAAAGGAGATTGTCGGTATAGCACGCCAGGAGTAAATGAAATTCGCACTCAAGCGATTGAAAAGTTGTTGAAAAGGCACTTTTTTTTAATATCTCTCTCTCTCTGCATATTATGTTCATATGGTAGTTAAATGGCAAAAATTGCTTCTCATATTGGTCGTCAGCGAGTGTTTTAATAAGATTACGATCTTCAAACTTTTTCTAGGAGAACACGGCTACCGCTTTCGCCACAGTAATTCGGAACACTAATCCTAATATTAAAACTGTTTTGTTGTTGTTGCTGGTATTAAGATTATTCAACCTTACTATTTATTACTATTTATTCAACAAAATCGGCTTCTTTTTTTTTGCTCATCCTACTTTTTTTATTCTAGAATTTATTCCATTGGTCTAACTAAATTATAATAATAATATTTTTTTAATGAAATCTTCATTGAAAAATTAGGAAAACATTCATTCATAAATAAAAAAAATTTATGGCAAACAATAAAGAGGGCAAATGATAAAAGACTTTTAGTAAACGGATCAGAGACCGTTTATTTTGAAAACAAGGGGTTACGAAAGGGGCCTTGAATAGCAGGTCAAAATTATGCTTGCATGTAAACAACGCACAAGGGAAGGCAAACAAACAAGCAAAGCTGACTGAAGAAATATATTCTATAATCTACACACACAAATCTCACAGTATGCACACACATCTTTACCTTTATTACTTATATAAATTAATTTGAAATAGTTTTACTATCGTAAGACTCTAAACATAAATATTAAATGTTGTTTCAATATGAAATTGAAAAGAAATATAATAGAACAAGTGATTAGTGGGATGGTGGACGTTGTGTGCGGCAGTCCAGGACGGTAATTCCTCAAGCGGGTGCGGTTAATCTCTTTAATCTTATAAGTCTTTCGTTTTGCATTCTCTTGTATTTTGTTTTAAATATTTGCACTTTTTATTGTTACAAGCGTTACTATAAAAAAAACTAAATATATTTATATACATGTTTTCGCGGCCTTCTGTATGTTTTACCAATTTGTGAATGAAGATTTTATTGAAAACAATGTTCTTATTACGATCTAATTGAACTGAAGACATAAATTTCAGGACTAAAGAGTAGGATGAGCCAATAAGCAAACAAATAAATAAATAAAAAATCCAACTGAAAGTTGAATAAATAATAACAAATAAAAAGGCTGAACAAGATCAAAAGTGTATAAATACCATATAATTCATCAAGTCGCAAATATATATATATATATATATATACAAAAGATATATGTTTCAATCGAGTACCATAAACAAGGCAGTAATAATATGAAAGGATGTACCGTTACTGAATGCAAATGCTTTCTTGTTGAACACTACAACTACTGGGGATCTCGTTTTGACCCTTTCTAATTTTCGTCGTTCAAAAAAAAGGCTTTCGTATGTACTGCTCCAAAGTTTTCTTATGATTTTTACTGCTACAAAGTGAAAAACAAAAAAAAAAAATTAAGTAAAATGTGAAAGAATTCAAGCAAAGAGAAAATGTCATATGCTATCTAAATGGTTGTAAGCCGCCATATTAAACTATGAATAAAAGGCAATGCTATATTGCATTATGTTCAATGTTTCGGAGCTTTTAATTTCCTCTCTCATAATACACAAGACGCTTACCCACAAATTATACTTTCATTTCTTTAGCTTGGAGTTGATAAATTGTCGGCTGCTTATGCCTTGGTAGATTCTTTGAAATTAAACGCCGCTCAACAGGAAGAAGCTTTGGCTGAAAAACGACAGCTCGCTAATGAGGCTTTAGAAATGATATCTGCCACGATGCGTAACGCTAATGAGCAAAAATCGACTATGCTCGAATTGAAGCAGCAGACACAGATAAGCAATGAAAAGTTAAAACAAAGACAAAAAGAAATACGAGATGAATTGGCTGAAGTGGAGCCGATTTTAGCTGAGGCTAGTGCCGCAGTCGGTCAAATCAAATCGGAAGCTCTGTCAGAAGTCCGTTCACTACGCGCTCCGCCCGATGCTGTGCGAGATATTTTAGAAGGTGTTCTTAGACTGATGGGCATACGAGACACTTCGTGGAATAGCATGAAAACATTTTTGGCGAAAAGGGGCGTCAAAGAAGACATACGATCGCTGGATCCCTCTCGCATTAGCCCCGAAAACAGTGAAGCTGTACAAAAATTGCTAAACGCAAAGGCAGATTCATTTATTATGAAAAATGCAAAGCGAGCTTCAGCTGCTGCTGCGCCCTTGGCTGCCTGGGTAAAAGCTAGCGTACGTTATTCCAAAGTCATACAAAGCATCAAACCGTTGGAACGTGAGCAGGCGGAATTACAGAAAAATCTTCAAGTGGCTGAAAACGAGATGCAATCTTTATTGTCGGGTTTGGATGACGTGGACAATCGTGTGAAACAATTATCGGCCAAACTGAATGCTCACACTCAGGAGGCTGTAATGCTGGAATTGAAACTGGAAGAGGCTCGTAGTCGATTGCAAGCAGCTGAAACGTTAGTACAAGAACTTAGTGCTGAATATAAGACATGGAATAGGCAATTGGAGGAGTACAAAGAAACACAGAAAAATTTAGATACAAAATCCTTAATGGTAGCTTTGGCCTTGAATTATTTATCTCACCTACCATTACAAGAAAGAAGGTTAGTATCGAATTAGTAAAGCCATCCATCTTAGCTTTTTATTGCTAGCAAAACACACCTCCCACTATAACACTTTTAAGTGCAAATGTGATTCGGCCGTGTCTGTTCCTCAGTCCGTTAATCGTTAAAACTTAAACGTTCGCGGAAATTGAGAAAGAATACCTACAATTAAAAGAGCTTACCATTGCTGGAAGACTGAAAATTTCAGAAACTTCTTTTCGGTAACCTACAACCTAGAATGGTAGGCAGTGGTCTTAAACATCGGTGGCCTGCATATTTATTTACGCATATTGAATAAATCGTGAAAAAATGTTTTCGCTTGGCCTTGGAAGAGCTTACGATTATGATTTTCATTCTAATTAGCCTAATAAATCGTTTGTGTTTATTACCTATACTTTGCCAATAGCTGCACTTTAAATGAAATAACGTCAGAATTGCAACTGAAAGAAATTTTTGACCTACGTAAAAGCCTTATTACCGAGCAAGAACAAATAATTTGGGAAAGTATGGGCTTAGCTCGAGATGCTCAAATTTTAGAAAACGCTGCACTGCTCATGGAAATTCTTGATTTACCATATACCAGCTTATCAGCACCATTGCTTATTGACCCCACCGGCACCGCCGTTACTTGGTTAAAAGAATATTTGCAATCACAAGAACTGGCTCACGAGTTGACAACTCAGAATAATCCTCGTTTAATGTATACTTTGGAGTTGGCCATACGTTTCGGAAAAATATTGATCATACAAGATTGCCAAGAACTTAGACCAACTTTATTGCAAGTTATTATGAATAGAATTTATATGAAATTTAATAAGCGTCAGTTGGAACTTGGCGGCAAGCTAATCGACTTGCATCAAAGCTTTCAATTGGTGTTGGTGGCAACAAACCCTAAACTGAACATACCTGCTGAAACTAAGGCATATATAACTTGCTTACCATTCACGGTAACGGCAGTTGGTTTGACCGATCAGCTAATGTCCGATGCTATTGTTAAGAAGGATCCTTCGCTAGAAGAGAAGAGAATCGGATTGTTACGCAATGAAGGCACTCTCTTAAAACAGCGCATAGAGTTAGAGGATAAGCTATTGGAGGAGTTATCCAATGCCCACGATGATATTCTAAAAAATGAGAAACTCTTGAAAACTCTCAAAGAAGTCAAAGAGAGTAGTAACTTTATCGATAAATCTCTGGGAGAGAGTGCCGCCCTTAAAGAAATTCTCTTAGCTGATTATACTGAACTCAGAGAGCTGTGCAAAAAAGCAGCCGATTTCTACATAGAGTTAACTGCAATTTATGATATGAGTTCCACGAGATTTATTCAACTCTTTTCAAACGTTTTAGAGTTATACGATCTTCATGATGTGAAAAATGCAAAGAAAATTAAAGATAATTTTTTCGGACAGTTGGTACGTGAGATATTTGAGTACTTGGCACGAGCAATAGCTAGAGATCGTCATTTAACTTTGGCTTTATTCATAAGTCGCACAGCTTTTAAGCAACGCATACGAGCTCAGGATTGGGAGCTATTCGTTACAAATTTTGCAGCTGCCGCCGATTTTAAGGCTAGTTTTGAAAATCAAAGGTCCCAGATAATCGCAGATGTATTTAACAAGGAAGCTGTAGCAAAGTTAGAAGCCTGGCTCCAAGTTCAACCCGAATTGGAAGGGAAATTACAATTACATAATACGAATAAGTGGCGAAATTTCGTCGAGGCTAAAAGCGAGGAAATTCCAGGTATGTTCCGCGAACGATTAAACAAAATTTCAGAGAGAGGAGAAAATTGAAAATATGAAAATATTTTCCTCGTCTGTTATAAGCTTTAGTCAAGCCTTTGTATCCTTAATGTTTTTTCCCTTCTTTTTATGTTAACATTTGTATTCAACCCTTGGCCGAGTTATTAACTTCCGAAGCACTTCTTGCTTTAAACCATCCACAGCTAACTACGTCTTGCGCTCATTGGATCGTTTGTATCCTAAAATAGTCTGAATTGACCAAACAAGACATATTGTGCCCATAACCTTTGACTGATCAAAGTTTGGTTTGCTTGCATAATGATATACAAGAACACTGGTCAATCGTTGATCAAACTTATTACGAATGACGTCTTCAAATTCCGGGATTAGTTCAATGCCACTATTAAATGTTAGTAGTGACGGAAGACACATGGAATACATTTGGTCCATGTTAACTTACAAAACGTTGACTAAAGCTTATAAAGACCACAAAAGCTCACAACAACTTAATGAAATTATTCTTTTTAGTGGACAATTTAACCAACTTCGACAAGTTGCTGTTGGTGCAAATTTTACGATCTGACTTAATTACTCGTTACATGCGTTTAACGACAGAAGAACTCCTAGGCCTATCTCTTGAAGCCATACAACAACCGACCGTCGAACAATTAGTAGCTGAGAGTTCAAGTAATAAACCCATAATAATGGTAACACAAACGGAAAACGATCCATCTTTTGAAATAATCGCCTTAGTTTCACGTTTAAGAGGGAAAGATAAATATGAAGAGATTTCGATAGGCAGGGGTATGGAAAAAAAAGCATTAGAAATTGTTAAGCGAGCGGCTGAATTGGGGCAGTGGGTTTGCATAAAAAATGTTCATCTGGTGCCAGATTGGCTACTTGAACTGGACAAAGAACTGGATGACTTTAAGAAATCTGAAGATTTTCGTTTATGGCTTATTTGTGAATCAATACAAGGTTTTAATGAAGCCATTATTTACAAATACGTTAGGGTTTTATATGAATGCCCTTCAAGTATTAAACAAAAAGCGAAAAAAATGCTACAAAATTACGCGATAGCCGAGCAAGATCGATCCATACTTAAAAATGGTAAACTCATGAAAATTCGTGTGGTGTTATTTTTATTACTGGCTGCGCTGCAGGAGAGGCGCCGCTTCATTCCACAAGGCTGGTCGCAGCGTTACGAATTTGGAGAGTCAGACTTGAATACTGCTCTGACTTTGTTAAAGTGGTTAGACTCTGCAACAGTTAACAATAGATACGATTGGCGCATAATACAAAAATTAATTGAGAATACAGCCTTCGGCGGGCGTATTAATGACTCAAGAGATTTGAAAGTATTACAAAAATATTTAGAGGAATTCTTGAAAAATGATGCATTAAGCAGTCGTTGGGCTCCTTTTGATGGCACAGTAATTATACCTACAAGCCAGCAGTGGGCGGATTATGGCAATGCTTTGGCCAAACTGCCCGCACAAGATGAGCCACACATATTTAAACTTTCGAGGAAATCAAACACAAGTCGGGAGATGGATTACGCCAAAGGTGTATTGAAAGAATTAAGGGTATTTCATTTTGGAGCAGCAAGCACCGATGGAGAGAATCTACAAAAAATTGAACAGCAAATCAAACCGTTATTGAATCTATGGAAAAAACTAGCTGAGGTAATAAGAGAAAGAACATTGCTTACCAGGAGAAAAAACTAAATTCTCGCATATTTTAGAACAATACCTTAAAGAAAACTGTAGAGGAATTTCATGAAATCATCGAAAAATCTTCGCAACCTTGGTTGGTATTTATAAGCACAGAGCTGAAGCTGGCAGCTAGTGGTTATCATTCAATACATAGCACTTTGGGACAAGTTTACAATGACCTTAAGAGCAGACAACTATATTCTAATAACTTTACACTGCGAACTTTAGCCAATAATCAGGTTAATTTATTTATCATTTAAATTGAATATTTGTAACAAATTTTTTTTTCTTTCTTTCTTATGTTTTTGTATAAGGTGCCTCTGTCTTGGCAACGTATATGGTCAGGACCGTCTACTGCTTTGGATTACTTAAAAGCCTTCATGTTGAGAGCTCAAGCTAGCGAGTCTCGTTTCAAAACTAAACAGAATTCGCAATTTATTGGCGAAATTGATTTAGCCACTGTTTACAATTGTGATACTCTACTCGCTGCCTTAAAATTGAAAATTTCCAAATCATTGAACAAGTCCTGCAAGCATCTTATAATGGAGTCTTTAGTTTTATCGCCCAGCTACGCCCCAACAAATAGATCAGAATCCTCACATGCCCAACACTTGCTTATAAAACCTCTGTTGGTAAGTTTCTATTATAAACTTAAAAGTTCATTTTACTTAAATTATGCTTAAAAACTAAAAAAAAAAAACGAAAGAAAAATCTATAATTTTAGGCGAACGTTATGTGATTTCGTTTTTCGTACCTTTTTATTCCTACATACCTTTCCCATTTTGGCCATAAATTCTAACACAACACTTTTTACTTTGTTTTACTTTTATTTTATTTTAATTGTATCCAACAAAAATATACGTTTTTTTTTCAAATTATCTGCAGCAATATTTCGGTTTCTCGTCTGGGTTTTTTTCCACAATTTTTTTTCTTTTTGTTGTTTTTGATTGACATCAGTAAAGTATTTGACAGTAAATGTAAGAGATGATGTTTAGAGGCCAGTGGCAGGGTTACCATTTGCCTCGGTTTCTATGAAAAGGAAAGATTGCTTATCATGCAAAATTAAATCCATCTTTTACAAAGTTAATAAAAGCATAGTTTTAATGAACATATTCAGTAGATAACAAGCGATTTAATTAGTACTTTCAATAGTAGCGATTAAGTTTTAATACAAAGAACTGGTCTAATTTTTTCACATTCTGATTCCCATAAACGTTTTTTTAGAAAGGATATATAGAATATATAATATTCAAAAAGAGACGTAATTGGGCGAATAAAAAATGTGATCTGAATAAAAAAAAATGTCAATTTCTTAGGTTGTAAGATATTTGAACAAATAAATTGCAAATAAATTCGCGTCGAGAATTCATTTATAAATTGTATATAAGATCATCACACATAAAAGGCTACAAAGTGTCATGCTTTTCTAATTAATATAAAATTCTTAATGGAATCAAACATATTTATTCTTGACTGTTGCTGAAAAAATTGTTGCAAGCTTTTAAAATTTTTATTAACGTGACCTCCGCTTCGTTTACCTATTATAACGTTCACAATATATGTTCCCAAACCACTGCAAAATGCTTTTAATATGCTATCTTCTCCTTGAGCAAAAACAGCACCAGCAAAAATATTCAAATGTAAACTTCCGAATATATATAGTGCTCGATTTTTGTTGAGTTCATTATCCCATATTTTATCTACAATCTCTTTTGAACCAAAAATGATGTAATGGCCTTGTTTCTATATGGTTTACGTGTAATGTTGTAGTAATTAATCCTAAATTGCTTAATTAAACCAAATATTGTTTGAAAATGATGAAAGTATTAGACATCAAAAACAAGTATAAAGTTCAAGTAAAAGATTAGAAAAATTATATTCATTTTATATTAAATAAATGCATATAAAAATAAAATATATATAAAAGAATGATTAAATGATTGCTTTTGCTTTGAATTTCACATAAAGCATTAGTTTATATAAACCGCCCAGATTCCACAAGTTAAACCGCGCGAGCTCCACATATACGATAAATAACCGCCCGAGTTCCACATATAGGGTAATTAAACCGCCCGAGTTCCACAAATACGTTAAATAAACCGCCGAGTTCCGCAATAGCATTACCGTTATAACGGTTAAGACTATATCTCTTTTAGAGTTGCATTTGGCAAAAAATTATAAACAGCTGTTAGCAAATGAATTATTAATTCAAGTATTTAAAGTTTCACATGTATGTTTTTAAGCTGTATTGGTGTGTAAGCGTATGCCTCCTTTTAAAGTAGAAATTTTATTCAACTTTAGATCCAAGGCTGTGAAAAGTGTGGTTTATTTATTTCATGAATTTGACTGACAGTGAAAGCAATGTCTGCAAAAGCTTAATATTAAAACCTGTATAATTTTCGATCATCATTAAAAGGAGTTCACAACTAAACTAATGTTTAAATCAATCGATAATCAATTCCTTTTTTTCTTTTAATGTACGATTTAACATTTAATGACGTTCACCACCACAATTTTAATTCGATGTCAAACCACTTTATACCCTGTATTCAAAACATATCCGCGTGTACTATTGATGGGCATGAAAATGGTTTTATTACAGATTTGTTGTCATATACAACAGGATTCATAATTAATTAAATACTAAAAAAAAACATTTAAGTTTTTATATATTTATTTATATATTATTATTATTATATTTATTTATATATTCAGTCGATGAGATTTCAGTTTTCGAATATCTGTAACGGGATCTTTTTGCAGCTGACGCTTCTTTTCTTCTATAATAAAATCCATCATTTCAGTTCGCTTCATATATTATAAATAAACATTAGTTACTAAATATCCCAAAGTTTTCCTTTGTTTTGCCGACGGCATTTGCTAATTCTTCTTAGATAATTTGGTCCGTTAGATAATTTGGTCCGTTAGATAATTTGGTCCGTTGTTTTGCCGACGGCATTTGCTAATTTTTCTTAGATAATTTGGTCCGTTGTTTTGCCGACGGCATTTGCTAATTTTCTTAGATAATTTGGTCCGTTAGATAATTTGGTCCGTTGTTTTGCCGACGGCTTTTGCTAATTTTTCTTAGATAATTTTTAGATAATTTCACAGAGTTGAATCTTAACATTTAAGTTAAGTTAGTTGGGCACTCAACCATTTATAAGCGACTCTGTGCTTTGAACAGGGAATTTAGCGAGGACTTCGTTTAAAAATTATGACGGTTTAATTCTAAGCGAACTTGTAAAATACGAGAAATTTTAAATGCCCAGGGTATGATATTCCTCATATTTCATTATGCTTATTATTTCACTATTAAAATCCGCGATGAGACAATATTTAAATTAATTCAAATTTTAATCAGCGTAAAACTGAGATAAGCAACGATTGGGATGATGACATTTTTGCTTCCATAAGCACTCAGGAAAGTTCAAGCGATGTGCAAAGAAGTAAAATTGGACGAAGCTCCCAGCACCAGCAAATTTACAGCACGTAGATACCTATCACCTTAAGAAAATATATATATGTTGCTGCACACGTCGCTCACTATATTTATATACATTTTTGATCAATGTGACTTAATTGGATACGCTCAGGCAGCTTATGATTAGGTTGAAAGTTTCCAGCTTCCATGCTACTACGCCTTCTAAAAGCGACTTTTTTACGCATCTACTTCTGTTTTATTTTGCAAATAGATATAATAATATCTACTAAATATATGTTATAGAAACTTTTCGCAGTATGCGTTGTAAATAAGATTTTCCTCTTTAACGGCTCCATGCGTTCTTTCTAGCGGTACACTTTCTTCTCAAGTCAAGCACAGCATTCCTAGCTTTTTACTCCTTTCAGTATCTGTTAATATAGAGAGAAACAATACATAGTTATAGAGATAACAATTAATTATATTGCATCAAAAACACTCAGGTATTTCCTTATTTCAGTCACATGTTCTGATTTTATATTATAGGTTAATGGTGCCGTTTTCATCAACGACAGTTTAGTTATTGGCTCTTCGTCAAACAGCAAGCAGCGCGAAAGTGAACAATCACCTGAATTTTTAATATCCTTCAAAGAAAATAAGGAAAATGAAGAAAATTTAAGTTACTCTTCCAGAGCTCAGATGAATAAAGCCGGTTTTATAAAATTGCCTCTGTACAACAATGCAAGGCGAGAGACGCTTTTAGGTGAACTGGACGTGCCCACTAACGAATCAGCGGACACTGTGCTACTTTCTGGGGCAGCTTTAATCGTGGCTGACTATTAAAAGAAAATAAACAGAAACGCATAAGCGAATTACTAAAAATGTGTAAAACTAAAAAATATCAGGAAGTAGTCATGTAAGCAGCCGACAATGAACTAGGCAGCAATCGCCAAGAGAATCTAATCTCGTTAGCAAACTTGCTGGCGATTGCCGCCAAATACGCTCTCTCAGTTACGTCAAATCTGGCGACAACAAAATCTCGTTGAGATCAAAGTTGAACTAGTGTTCAGAATACATCACAAATCTCTCTTTTAGACTTGCGTTAAAAAAAAACACCTGCAGAAGAAAAGTGTAATAAGTTAGAAAATGCATTATTAATTTAAAAAAAAATAAAAATAAGCTGTGACCGAAATTACATTTGTAACGAAAAAGAAAAAAATTTGATAAAAGTATCATTTTTTGTAATTTTTTTTGCAAATTACACAACGTTGAGCAACGTGTACATTGCCAGCACAATGTGTCGTAAATTCCTTTTATGCTCGTTCATCAGACAGCAGAACAATGACAGCCGCGATGCAGAAGAAAAAATAACCATGAGACAGGCGAGAAAGGTTTGTGGAATGCGTCCGACCCCCTAACGCTATCTTAAAACGAGTAAATAAATTGTTTTAAATTGTTTTAGATTAATTGTTTTAAAAATGACCTTTAAGTACATGTTATATTGTTGTACGTAGATTTATGCAGAACTTCCACGTTTCCAAAGCGCCTTTTCATTGTAGAAGGGATGGTATGGGACTGGATACAAACCGCCGGAGTTGTGCTTAGCCACGAGTTAGAGTTGTTAGCTACAGGAGGTTGCCAATGGTTGGCCTGCAGCGACCATACCGCAAGTGTTGCATAAAGCCCGTTATCAACCCTTGTGTCGCAAGTGTTAAAAGAGTTGGAAACGAAACTATGTGCGGAGTGAATCTAAGCGGCCGTATTAAATCAACGACCATTATAATGTTTTTATTACTTATTGCAGTGATTGGATGTGTTGATCGAACTACCTATGCTTTTTAAGGCCAGCGGAATTCGTTAACTGAAAAGGAGAACATAGAATAAACGGGTGGATAGTGACTAATCTGAATATTTGTGTAGTAACAGCTTATTTTTATTTACATAAATATAAGCATTTTCTTCCAGATTTGCGACGAAGCAATGAAAATCATGGCAGCCAATTTTAAATTTTCCGAATCTCCTCACGATTCGCATTTGTGGAAACGCTCCGGTCAAAGAGCTTACCTGGAAAGCGGTTGGTGTGGACGTGAAAGCAATGTTTGGCTGCTCCGTAAGCAGTAAAAAAAAAAAATTAAAGCCCAAAAAACTATCCACTGCAATGGATGCATTGTTGTATATAAAGGTTAGTATTACAGTATTTAGTGTTTCGAAAACATAACTATAGTTATTGAACATTTCTCTATGTCGCTGGCATATTATGCAGGAAGAGCGAAAAAGCTGCTGCAGCCCAAAGAAGCTGTGAAGAATCGCAAACGGTTGTGCGGCGCTGCACATTTACAAAGCCGTACATAGTGGTTGAGGATTCCTGGTACTAAATTTGTAAACATAACATTCTAAAAAATATAAATCATTTTTAAAGTTGTAACTCGCATAAAAATTTACACAAAAATCAAATAAATATTGAAAGTATTACCCCTTGTTTTGATTTTTATGTACTGGATCTTGTCTTTACTTGTTCGTATGTGAACGTAAAAAAAACAAAAGATTTGGCATACAGGGGTGGAAGGAACAACCTAATATAATGATAGTGAAGACATCATTGATATGAGTTAATCACTAGCAATATATTAAAACAGAAATGTTAAAAAGTCTGCTATGAAAAATCTGTAAAAACGAATACAAAGTAATTAACTTTTTATGCAATAAGAAATTTAAAAATTGAAACATTGGACTTGCACGCTTGTTATTGTTTACCGTACATAGTTTGTTTATACATACATACATACATACAAAACAAATAAACGTCAATTTGGCGCTAATTTTTTACATTTGTCTCAGTTATTAATACATTGTAATGGAAAATTTGAGGGTAATTATTTTTTAGTTTCTTGGCCACAATCAATTGTCTCCTCAAAACCCAGGCGATAACACGGCGAATACTGAATACCCATAGAAAAGCATTCGAATTTCTATTTTGAATGTGCCCCCTTTTGTTAGCAAATCTAAAATTTACATAGAAGAATATTTAATATATATTTGAATAGCATTTCATTGGTACTATTTGTAAACGCCTATATGTAAAATGGATGTAAAATGGAAAAAATATGAGACCTCCTCACTATCTGCAAAGCAATATACATTTATTTGCGTAGGCATGGTCGTTTATATCCTATTTTAAGATAAAAAATCTACACAACAAGCAATGCTCCTTTCGCCGTTGAAAACTATAAATAAATTTTTTGAGCCAACGGAAATGAATGCAGATTCGTTCTTTGCCAGATGGAAAAATCTAAGTGGGTTAAAAAAAAAAAAATAAATAAATAAATAAAAATAAATAAACACATCATGCTCTTACACATCATGTTTGCATTATAATGTTTTTTTTTAACACGTCAGCGATCAACAAAGGGCTCAGAAAGTATTCAAAGCTCAACAGCCTTTAGATTTACCCGGTGCACGTAATAAGCTAACGGGCTTTGGTATGCAATTATTAGATAATGTAGATCCTAATCCAGATAATATGGTATGTGCCGGCATTATACACACTCAAACGCAACAAGTAGGCTGTCTATTACGATTAGAACCCAACAAGCAAGCACAGGTTAGTGATATTAAATAAAACACCGATTTTTGGAAAAATCGCTTACGTTTCTCACATCATTTATTGTTTGCTTAGATGTTCCGTTTAACAATAAGGGCCAGCAAGGAGAGTGTTACACGACAGATATGTGAATTACTTACAGACCAATTTTAAGTGCATAAAGAAATTATTAAGAATAATGAGGAAAAAAAAAAACGCGAAAAATTAAACCAACTAAGCTTTGTTATTTGATAATAATGAATCGATCGATTCAGGAATTGTTTATATAGTTTAGTATATAGAGTAACTGACGCTACGTGTTCGTTGTTGCAAACATCACGTCCATCCTATCCTTACGATAATGAGTTTAAAGATTCATATAAACAACAACGATTTCTTCCTTACATTTTGAATTTAAGTAGAATTATTTTATTAGCCATTACTTTATTTTTCTGTTTTAAAGAATCCTTGTAAAGGCATTTACAAAACCTTTGGTACATTTTTTGGGCCTTTACATTAATCTTTGATCTGGCGTACAAAGTAATAAACAAACAGAAAAAGATATGAAAACTATTTTCAGTGTCCAGTGTTTAGATTTATCGAGTCTTTTTCACCTAGATGGGAAAAAAAGTAATTGAAAGTTCTAATTTGCCTAGACATTTGCCTAAAGATTCAAAACTTTACAGCATTATCCGTTAACTTTGCATTTTCGGGAGTTTTCACAGTACATAACTGAAATCGCTTTCGTTTGCTTAAACACAAATATTTCTTTTTTTTAATAAACACACCACCGTACTCTCTACATATACGTACATCTTCGAAAAAAAATGCATACGTTACTTGTCAAAAAGATTTGTAATGGAATCAAAGTAATCTTCAGTTTTTCCGAAACCACCATCGATCGCGCCTTACGTGTCTGTTGTAGACTATGAGCAACCAGCAATTTCTTTTTTTTTTTTGTTGAGAGAATGTGAGAATGTGTACCATACATACTGCACAGTTTAGCATAGGGACACATACACAAACAAACTGGCCAAGAATTTATATATTTTGTGGGGTCTTTGAAGCTTCTTTTTGCGCGCTATGAAGCAATTGAAAAAAAATCCAAATTTTGATACACTACAATATTAAGTAGGCGTGGTAAATTTCTCCTACTTTTCTACAGGTGCTACAGCATCGCCTATAAAATACGTGCAATTTCTTGTACATTGGGTTACTGTAGTTTTTAAGTAGTGAAAGACTGTACTGTAGGCGTTATCTTCAATTAATTTGGCACATTGATGGGTTCATTTTTCCGGTCCAAAGAACGTTTACAACAGGCATTGGAAAGACGGACAGGCGAACATGCGGAATGATGTACATACTTGAATAAATTTAGAATTTCATGCTGATCAAGGGTACACATGCCTTTTGGGATCTTTGCAACTTCCTTCTGGGCGTTGCCAATGTTTCCACAAAATGAATATAGCCCTTATACTTCGATGATGAACGATTTATTCAGATGGATGTAGTCATATTTAGCAATTCTGCGGTTCACAAAAATTGAAGATGCGCGAAAATGGATCGGTGCTCGTTTTCGCGTCGGCAATCTTTATATTGCGAGGGTACGGATAAATGTCAAAAGGCTATAGATAATGAGGGTGCATATTTCGGTTTATTTGTAACAAGTAAGTTTTAAATAAAGGTGAATTATGTCAATGGAATTAATGGAACTTTATGAAAAAACAATATGAAAGCTTCCTCTTGCTATAATATCGTATAAAATATTTCTGTTTCCCATTTGCATTGTAAGTATCGTAAATAAGACCAATGGCAGAAATGGAAATGTTGCCAGCAGCAAAATGAATAAGGAGCTTGGTTTGTTTCCAAAATACTAAAAGTATATATGAACATTAAAAAATCAAATTTCACATATGCATACATACGTGTATGTTGCTATTATTTTTGTCGTAAGCGTTATTATCTTTATTTAACAGCAAAAAACCAAAACAACAAAAAAAAGCTCATTTACGTGGTGTAATTACCTTCTTAAAAAATTTTTCTTAGCTCATAAATTTTTATGTGAAAAATGAACAAAACTCTTTTACCATGATGATGGCCTGCATGATTAGGTTCTCAGAATTTATAAAAAAAGCGGGTATTTTTACACTTTCTCTTATTTAAAACAAAAGCTGGACGTTTTAAGCTACAGTTTTCAATATGGCGCACTCGTGCTCACAAGTTACTTTTTTAAGTTGTTTTATCGTAAACTGTTCGTGCACTTGCTAACGTACAGATTTAATCTTTTACAATATAGTTTTGTGCAACTTTTCGCTTCCGCACCAAATGCAAGCAACGTATCGCAAAAGTGGAAAAGTGACGTGACTTTAAAATAAACAAATTTGTAATTAATTTGAAACCGTGGGATTAGCAAATTAGTACCTTTTCAAAAAGGCGAATATGTTTTGTGAGTTGTATAGGGACGCATAACGTTCTTAAGACTGGGTACGCTTATTTAAACTGATAACAAATATCTGCTTTTACTTCCATCACCAAAGACGTACAAATCTGTAAATTGCAAGCATGGTTCATACACACTTAAGAATGCAATTTTTTTTTTCTTCTTCGCTTCTTCTATTTGCTATTATTGACAAGTTCGTTTGCGTCTTTGCTAAGTAATAAAGAGACGTAAATAAAGCAAGACATAAGCATACAAAGAAGGTATGTAAATAAAGCAAGGCATAGCTTGTTGTGTGCTTATATGCGTGACTGTTGTAGAAAAATAAAATGCATTGTTGGGAAATTAAAGGTTTTAAAATGCTGCTGCTTGGCTGTAAATATAAAAATTTAGGGCAGAAATTTTCAAATGTACAAAATGACAAAACTACTTTTCTTGTATTGCATAAACTCTGTATCCATTATGTGTTTTATCATTTTGTATATTAAAAGATTGTGCTTCTGCTAAATTTTATACTTTTGTGATATCGTAACCGCCTCGTTTTTACATTTCTTTAACAATTATTAAGGTTCGGCTCCGAGATATTTTGTGTTTTTGCTAAGTTTCCAATCAGCGTATTTTTGCAAATGGTATTTTCAATTGTAAACAAATACAGGCGCTTACACTCAGATGTTGCTGAATTATTTTTGAATTACTCTCAGATGTTACTGAATTTATAGTCGTTTCTTCAATGCAACAGCTGTTAAAAAATATATATGTATATATATTTCGCGAGAGTCTAATTGTCGCTTATAAATTGTAAATTGAGTATAAAAATTAAAATGTGTGGAATGGTTAATTTTCTTTATGAAGATCTACGTCTGTAGAGTCGCCTTACATAAAAATGATATTTCCTTGTGAAAATTGGAGTTAATAGATTAGGATTTTTTAGGAATCCAAGCGTATATCAAAATTGCAAATGAAAGAAAGGGTTTCTAATGTTTATGCAAAATGTTGCATATAGAGAGCTGAAAATTTATAAAGTGGCGGTGGGGTAAGTGAAAAAAGGATATTTTTCTTAGCATTTCTTTTGAATCCAAAGGTTTGATCAAATTAATATTGGCGAAATGTTTTAACACAGCGGCCCGAGAAAGTTTTATCGGTGAACCATTGTTCCGCTGCGCTCTGTTCTGTGCTGAAGGCGGTAGCTATTTAATTTAATATGGTTTTCTCATCTTTCATTCATTTTATTCGAAATACGAATTAACTTATTTCTCTTGGCTCTTAACAGACTTGGAAATAAAACATAAGGTTCCCCGTATATATTTGTTTGTAAAAAGCTTTGTAATAATAATAAGACACATTTGATGTGTTCACCTCAGTTAGGACTCAAAATTTCAGTCTTTAATATATATGTCACAAGACTTTATACGTTTGTAAAAGACTTACTATTTTAGCTTGACTTTTGGTAAGAGAACTAATATTGCTTATATAACGTGCTTTTTGGAGAAGGTTGTTTAGCGTGAACTTGTGTGAGATGATATCATAAACAACTCTTTCGTGCAGAGCTTCGCCATTTAAGACATTTTTTGTTTTGGTTTAGGAGCTGGAAACGTTTAACATGCCCCACAGAAACGATGACGAAGTAATTTTTCAGGATACAAGTCCAAGTGCTCCGCAAGAGAACATTTCCATTTTCTTTCTTCATTATGTTCACTATGATTAAATTCCGAAGGTGTTTCAGTGCAGGCGATTGTTTGCATCGTATATAGAACGACATCACTGACCTAATTTTTGTTGAATCAATCCACTTTGGACAACTTTCGGTAACTACTCAAACCTGTCTGTACGACGTTTGCTCGAGTATTTTCCTCTTGATGCTAAAAGTCGGTATTTTCGAACTTCACTATAAATGGTCTAAATCGGACCACTTTTGCGGTCACTCTTATATAACATGCCATTTCCAGAAATTTCTCTTGTTTTTAATATTTTTCGCAAAAACTGGTGCAAAGTTGCATAGGACATGTCAAAGAGATTGTGAGTCTTAAACCCTTATATGGTCGTCTTTAGAATAACTAAGCCTTAGGATATATGTATATACTTATATATATCGCGCGTAATTTTTACGCATCTCGGCGAATATCGCTCAAAGAACGACCAACAAATTATTTGAATTGTATACAACGTAGCACGAATACTTGAGTAACTATTAGTTGTTCGTTTTCTCTAAAAGGAGAAAACAAATCAAAACCGCTCTCTGCAGGAATAATGCATCAAAATTTAAGGGAATAATTTCAAATTGAAGGGAATCTTCTGCTAAAGCATTAAACGTTCATCATACGTTTTCCACCCAATCGGGCGAATTTCTTATCGCTTTTTATAGATTGTATCCATCAAAACTGGCCAGAGATGTAATATTACAGCGTTTCGTATTTCGTATCCCAAGAAAACAATAAGTCTAACAACTCAGGCAATGTCACAGAATATTCTGCAGATATTTTTGTTGGGGGAGCAATGTCTTACTCTGTCTCGATTAAGTCGCTTTGCTTGCATCTATTAACCTACCAAATAAATGTAAATACATTGGGGGAGAGAATTGTTTACATTTATGAAAAATTGTTAAAATCGCTTCGTCAAGGGTTTAAGTCTTGCGCGAGCGTAACATACGAACTGGTACGAAATAAGGCTAGTCGCAGTTAATCTGCTCATGACATTAAAGGCTTTTAAGGCGAATAAACGTAGTGTGCACACTCTATAT